GCATGGCAGGGCATACCTGGAATCTTCACACTCAAAGACTGAGGCAGAAAGATTGTTGTTAGTTCGAGACTGGTACAGACTACAACATGAGATATTATCTCTGATAAAATAATGAAAATTCAGTAAAGTTAAAATATTTAATTAAAAATATGTTGACATAGTTCTTATTTTTTTTGGTTTTTCAAGACAGGGTTTTTCAGTGTAACAGCCCTAGCCGCCCTGGAGCTAGCTGTGTAGACCAAGCTGGCCTCAAACTCACAGAGGTCCACCTGCCTCTGCCTCCCAGGTGCTGGGATTAAAGCATGCGCCACAGCCATCTGGTGTGTTGACACAGTTCTATAATTTCAGCATTTGGGAAGTAAAAACAGGAATATCAAGTTCAAGGCTAGCCTTGGCAATGGGAGACCTTATCTCAAAACATTTTAACAGGTCATCCTGAACTGTAGAAGAACTTCAAGGTCAGCCTTGGCAGCTTAGTGAGGATCTCTCAAAATATAACTCGAGTTTGAGGCTAGCCCAAGATAGGTAAGACTCTCCTTGTAACAAAAGAAAAAGTTTTCAAGGCAGAAGCCAGGTATGTTAGCCATACCTGTACCTGTAAGCCCAGCTATTAATAAACCTAAAACAGGAAGATAGAAAAGTTCAAGGCCAGGCTGGATAGATAGTTCAATGGTTAGGGTCCCTGTAATTCTGGCTCCAAGGGACCCAACACCCTCTTGATGATTCTGCAGGAACCTGCACTCAGATATGGATAAGCCTACATACAGATGCACACATATGTACATAATTAAAAATAAAATAATTCTTTAGAAAAAAATAAATTCAAGGCCTGCCTCACCATAGAAGTTTGTCATGGGATCCTGTTTTAAACTAAACTTTTAAAGGACTTCTGAGAGTAGGTGGGGTGGGGAGAGATGACTCTGAAAGAGGATCACAGTTTAGTTCCCAGCATCCATAGTAGTGGTTTGCAGCCACCTGTAATTCCAGCTCCAGAGACCTTTTCATTTGGCCTCTGAGGGCAAATATGCACACACACATATACACATAAATAAAAAAATAAATCTGGAAAGGGGGCTGAGAAACTGAGTGTGGTGGTGTATACCTATAGTGCTAGCTAGTACTTGAGAGACAAAGGCAAGAGAATTGGACATTAAAGTTATCCTCGGCTACACAGCAAGTCAGTGCCTGTTGCAATACAAAAGACCTTGTGTCAAAAAAGAAAACATCCCGGGTTGTGGTGGCACACACGTTTAATCCCAGCACCCAGGAGGCAGAGGCAAGAGGATCTCTATGAGTTGGAGGCCAGCTTGATCTACAGAGTGAGTTCCAGGACAGCCAGGCTAGTCAAGGCTATACAGTGAAACCATGTCTGGGGCGGGGGAAAAAGACAAAACAGAGGAAAAGAAGGCTGAGGATACAGCTCAGCAGTAGCGTGTTTGCCTCATATGCATAAGGTTCAGTCTGAAGTACTGCTCATGCAAATATTTTCAAGATAGGGCGCTATGTTTTGGGAATATTTAATGGTAAAATGGAGAGAACATTGATTCCTATGGCAAAGTCCTAGATTTAGTCATGTCCTTTTTTTCTATCATTGATACATTAATTTATTTGAGGGTGGTGTACCATGCCATTTATACAGAGGTCAACCTATGGAAGTCAGAGTTTTTCTACCACTGTGAAGGTTCTAGTTGTTGAACTCGGGTTGTCAGACTTGAGGGCAAGCATCTTTTCCTGCTGAGCCACCAGGCCCTAGGTCCTTTTGTTATTATTCATAAGCTGTCTAATTTTGGTCAGGTCACTTAAGGTTCTGTTTTGTCATCTGCCAAATGAACATGCTGATAATAGCATATCCACTTCACAGTGTTGTCTTAGGATTAAGAAGAGAGAATGTGCACATGAGCACTGAATAAGCTAGGATCATTGTACAAGTGTCAGTTCATGGGGTGGGCTTTTCTGAGTCTTTTCATTGCTTACCCATTTTTAGAAAATATTATTCCCCTCTTTTATTTCATTAGAATGAAGTCCAAACTGCCAAGGAGTTTATTAAAATCATAGAGAGTGCAGAAAATGAGTATCAGGTAAGAAGATTTGGAAGTGTTTTTTTTTTCTGTGGTTTTGTTCAGTCCTTTGTATCCTTTAACGTAAGAACATGCACTGTTGGGCACTGCTACGTGTGAGACTACAGACCCTGCAGTTTGTCATTCTGCTTACAATTATGAGACTGCAGCTATGTACCAGGACTACAGATGAATTTGATTTGCTTTTAAGATTGAAGTGGAGCTCAACATACATGTTGTCCTGTGTCCTTTCTAGCATGCCCTTTGTCTGATTACCTTCCTGTTTACAAACAACTCATCATCAATTATCTATTGCAGACAGCAATTAGTGAAAACTATCAGACAATGTCAGACACCACGTTCAAGGCCTTGCGCCGGCAGCTTCCAGTTACCCGCACCAAAATCGACTGGAACAAGATACTCAGTTACAAGATTGGCAAAGAAATGCAGAATGCTTAAAGGCCAACTGTAGAAGTCTCCAGTACAAAGAAAGAAAAGGATTCAACATGGTGTGGTCATATGATCAATAAGTGATTTATAAACAAACAAGAGTGATATTTTGCTAGTTAACAAAGTTAACAGATCTTCTAGCCTCATGGAATACTGTTGAGCCTACAGCACTGTCTTGATTCTTTTGTGTGTGTGTGTTCTCTGCCTTGTAATTTTCTGTTATCACTATATCTACTTGTAAATCTTTTTTTTTTAATTCTGCTACATTTAATGTCAAAGAGATCTATCCTGAAGTCATTTTACTGTTTAGAAAATTTCCTAGCCATGACGTCCTGTTGCTGGTTTTTACAGAGTATTTGGTCAGTACTTTGTACCCCATACTTTAAAGCATTTCCAGTGCTTCAGTGGCTTTTACTGATCCACCAGTTGCTAAAGAGGCTATGTTATGAACTGTAACTAAGTGGACGACACACTCCTCTGTCTGACTGCTTTGATTGTTTATAGCATCTCACAATTATAGTTTTCATACATTTGGATTGGGGCTTTTTGGGTCCATGTTGGGAGGCAAAGGAAGTTTCTTGAATATTCCATGGCAGCAGCTTCTCTGGGAACTTGTTTTTAAATTCCAAAGACTTGAACCACATCCCCTGCACATGAACGTTTATTTTCATTCTCTCGTCTCCTCCCATATACTTCCATTGTAGCCATAGATGTCTGCAGGAAGTGCAGCTTAGAGAATGCATTGGGGGAAACCAGGATTGTCAGTCAGTCACATGGGCCTATTTTCTTTAATGGAAAGAAATGCCTGATCACCTGGAATGATGGAATGACAGGATCAAACAACCTGGTGATCCTTGCTATTCTGTTAGAGGCCAACCTCCAACTGAAGCCCCACCCCTTCCCACACACAATATTCTGAGCATTGTTTAGGCCCTAGTCCTGGGCTTGTCTCTCAGTGAATAGAACTTATGTCTATTACATATCCTTCCTTTCTAGGCCTCAGCCCTATGTTTGTCAGTCATTAACTCATTCTTATTGTAAAGACACAGGTGCTTTACTATTTGGCAAGGGAATTTTGATATAGCTAGCCCTGAAGCTTTGTTTTGAGAATTGTCATGTGGAGACTTTTTTTCCCAAAGTTCTATTATGTTTAAATGTGTGAAAAAATTAAAACACAGGATCAGATTGTAGAAGTCTTGATCCTGTCTGACCAAGTCTGGCTGCCTCAAGTTTTCATTCTGTCTCTTCTTGGTCCACTTCCCTGTCAGTGGCAGTACCTGCAGGAATGCCTCAACAGATGTCAGCTTTTTTAGAAGAGTTTTGCCCATTTGTATTTCTGTTTAATATTCAAGAACTGGTGACATACTGTGGATGTAGTAGAGTATAAAACTTGAAAACCACAGGTGCTGAAGGGATGATGGGTAGCTGTGTTTCAATGCTCTCTGGCAGGCCATGTTACCCACAAAGCTGGAATGAACCAAAGTCAAAGTGAACTCCTAGGCAGTGTCTGTCTGCCATCACCTGGATTTCAGAGAATGCTAGTGCTTTCTCCTACTAGACGAGATATAAAACTCATTCCAAATTACTTTCTCCATCATCCTGTAACTGTGATATAGCTATCTTCCCAGGTATGTTGGAGGTATGCATGTGAGATCTCAGAGCACACAGGTAATGTGATGTGACCTATGACAACTGGCAATGGTGGGCTCATTTACATTGTTTACATTTCTATGACCAGGCCTTAGGGGAAGGTCAATTTTTTAAAAAACCAAGTAGTGTCTTCCTACCTGTCTCCAAACACAAGTCAAAACAGAAGGGTGTTTGCTTCAGCTTTGTTTTTTGCTTAGTAATACAGTCAAGCAGGAGTTTGTTTGCGGATGAAAGCTGTGTAAGCATTTTTGTTTATTTCAAATAAAATATATTTGTATTATTTGTCATTGATATTATCCATCCTTGCCACACTATCTTCTGTATTAGGTAGTCCAATAGAAATACACCTGTTTTATTCTAAAATTGTGTTTGTCCTTTCTGTCCTATCAGCCTTTGTTCTCAAAGTAAAATATTCAACTATAATCAATTAATTTGTTGAGAATCTTCAGGGCTTCTTAAATTGTGTCCTATTTACTACTATGGACTCAGTAGATATGCAAAGACTTGTAAAGAGCAGCTCCTTTTTAGGTGTGAGTAAAGTCTCTGAGATTGAGACAGGAGGACTGCTGGGAGGCTGAAGCCAGACAGTGCTACACAGTGAGTTTTAGGTCAGTCTAAACGACAGGACAAGGCCATTTCCAAGAAAAAAGGTGGGGGTGGAGAATGGAGGGGTTGCAGAGAGATGACTCAGCTGTTACAGTGATGACCTGCAGAAGACCCAAGTCCTATTTCCAGCACTCAACCACTTGTAACTCCAGTTCTAGGGGCTCCAACACCCTTTTCTGGCTTCTGGGCAATCGCACACATGTGCATACACACAAACATATTTTTTAAAAATAGCTCATAGGGAGTCTGGGCGTGGTGGTACATACCTTTGATCCCAGCATTCGGGATGCAGAGACAGGCAGATTTCTGAGTCCCAGGACAGCCAGGACTACACAGAAAAACCCTGTCCAAAAAAAAAAAGAAAAGAAAAGAAAAGAAAAGAAAAAGCACAAATGAAAATAAATGCTAGGAGTTGTATTAAAAAAACAAAAGTCTAAGTTTTACCACTCTCCACCCAAAAGCTACCAGTGACTCAAAGATTTTGTTTGGGATTTCCATCAATGTCAAAAAGAATCTGGTTATGAAAGAACAGGGCCTGAATATGATTGCAGTCACTAGGCAGGAGGTAAGATTAGAAGGATTCTCGCAGCTTAAGCCTGAGTACTCTTTTACATTGGCTTCACCTTAAATGTTTTCTTCTCCAAGTCTGTCTTAGCTACTGATTTTTATCTTGGTTTATTCCGTTTTTATATTCCTGCACCAACTGAGATCCCTTCCTTGGGGGCCATTTAATTGTGCTCTATTCTTGTAAACATTAAGATATTCTTGACTTTAACGTGTTGCCCCTATTAGCCTTCCCAAGTTCTTTACCTTGATTTCCTTATTCCTGGAAGACTTAGAAAACAGGGTTTGGGAGTTGGCAAGGTTACCACCTTGGTTCAGCAAGTCGTCCCTGCCATGGCCTGAGTCAGTCCATGGCCTGAGTTTGTTCCTGGGACCCACATGATTGAAGAAAAGAGCCAACTTCCAAAAGTTGTCCTCTGGTCTTTATGCTTAACAGTTCTGTTACTTGATAAGCAAGAGGAAGTCAACACCTTGCCAGGTTCTCAGTAAACCTGACTTCCAAAGGTTAGTTGCTTCATTTTATCATGCTGTAGGAATCAGCCTGTGCTGTTGCAGACAGGACGGGTTTTCTGTGAAACCTCATGTTTGGCTCCAGGTACACTGTTGAACTGTTTCTTTGTCATCCGAACCTCTGGTTGTCCCTGTCTTCATTGCCTGATCCTAGTGCCTTGTTTCTGAAATTCTGGTGCTAGACTTACTTATTCATGGGACACCTGACATATTCTCTCCAGATTTATACATCTGAGTGCCATCTTATAATTTACAGATGGGGCCTTGTGTTGTGTTTGTAAGAGACGGTCTTGCTGTGTAGCCCAGGCTGCCTTCAGCTTGACATCAGCTTCAGTCTTGTGTTTATGTCACCAAGCAAGGCCTAGTTTAGAGTTCTGTATTAAATTATCTAGTAGACCTGATGTCCATGACCAGCTTCTTGTTTCTCAACAGTCCACCTAATTGAAAGGCAAAGAAAGAAAAGATTAGTAAATACAGAATAAAACTGGACGGTAGCTGCTGTTAAATTCTCCTTTAAACATACGGTGTATATAATAGCATATCCCTTCCGAGGACAAGAACCATTTGCACAAAAAAAAAAAAAAAAAAGCAGGAGGATCTCTGGGAGTTCGAGGCCAGCCTGTTCTACAAGAGCTAGTTCCGGGACAGGCACCAAAGCTACAGAGAAACCCTGTCTCG